TACCCCTCCAAGCTGGCAGCCCACCGCCACACGCACCACGCCACCGACGCCCGCCCCTATCCTTGCCCGCACTGCCCCAAGGCTTTCTCATTTCCCTCCAAGCTGGCTGCCCATCGCCTATGTCACGACCCCCCGACCGCGCCGGGCAGCCAGGCCACCGCACGGCATCGATGCTCCAGCTGTGACCAGGCCTTTGGCCAGAGACGCCTCCTGCTGCTTCATCAACGCAGCCACCACCAGGCGGAGGGCCAGGGGGACAGAGAGTGAACCCTCCCCTTGGCTCACTGGCTCCCTCTTCTGCCAGCCCCGGTCAATAAAAAGGTGGGATTTCTAAGCCGGTGGGGGGAATGGACTTGCTTCTTCCAGGTAGCTGGCAGGGAGAGAGAGACTGGCCATTTTTACTGGGCTCAAACTTAGAAGGCCGAGGAACTTTTTGCTCACCTGCGTTGCGTACAGGGAGGTGTCAACCACAGAGTTATAGCACTGGGTCCAAACCCACCGATGTGGAACTGTGGTTTGACAGCACTGGCTGTTTCTCCCCACCCATTTATATGGCAAAGGTAAAAAGTCTGCTAGTCCCGGGTTCTTCAAGACTGTGGACAAACAGGCTGTCTCATTGTTGTTGAAAGTTTAAATTGGTTTCTCCACTTTGACCATATAACTGTATGTAAAAAATTTAAAATACACACAAGCTTGTTTCAACTCTTCCACTTGTAGGAATTTATCCTATAAACTCATACATGTGAAGATGACTTAAAGGTAAGATGTTCACTGCAGCATGATTGTTGTGGTGAAGGACTGGAAACAACCCAAGCAACCATCATCAGGGGACCAGCTAATGAACTGCAATACTGCCATGGAGTGGAATATATAGCTGTAGGAAAAAAGTTAGGACTGTATGTACTGATGTGGAAAGATCCCCAAGATATACTAGGATATACAAGATGTACAAGATAAAGCAAGAACATAGGGTATATACTACTGACAGTACAAAACCATTTAAAAGCCCAAGCTTTGGAGCCAGCCCTGACCCACAACTTACGAGTTATGGGGCCTTGGACAAACTGTGGCACTTCTTTGGACTCAGATGCCTTTTCTATAAAACAGGGTGTTATAAGGCATCTGTAAGGGGGCAAGCATCATCTCTGGTAAAGCTAGTTGCTCTTTTGGAGCCTATTTCTCCTGCTGTAAGATAAGAATGAGCAAGCTAACATTGAACTGCCCCTTGTTCTGTGTATATGTATTAAGCACCTACTGTGTGTTGGGCCCTGCATGGGGTGTTAATGGCACAGCAGTGAGACAGTCCTAGCCTAGTGAGGAAAGTGAACACTAATCAAGAAAGTGGCCTGAAAAGGAAAAAAAAAGAGAGAGAGAGAGAAGCCAAATTCATTTAGAAGATCAAGTAGGGAAGGGGCTGGCTGGTTAGCTCAGTTGGTTGGAGTGTGGTGCCAATAACACCAAGGTCCAGGGTTTGATCCCTGTACCAGCCAGCTGCCAACCTCCCCTCCCCCTAAAAAACAAGTAGGGAAGTGATGGCCTCCTCCCCCAACCCCCTTCTAGGTTAAATAATTATTATGAAGCTATAGAAATGAAGTCTGTAGAGCTAGCTTGGGAGCAGGCCAGTGAAAGAGAACTGATAGCTCAGAAAAAGACCTGTGCTTATACTGACGTATGACATGTGACAAACCCTAACTGTAGATCGGGTTGGCAAACTTTTTTCTGAAAAGGGCCAAATAGTATATATTTTTAGGTTTTGCAGGCCATACAGTGTCTACATATAACTATTCAACTCTGCCACTGTAGCAGAAAAGCAGCCATACACACTACGATACATAAATGAATGAAGACAGCTGTATTCTAATAAAACTTTATTTACAAAAACAGTAGGTGGGCTCGATTTTGCCAACCCCTGCTTTGGATGAGTAGAGAAAGGACAGACTAATCAGTAAATAAGGCTGAGAGATATAGAAAAAAATTAAATGGGATCCCATGGTAGGCAGAATAGTGCCCCCCAAAACTGTTCACATTCTTTTTTGGTGGCTGGCTGGTACAGGGTCAAACCCTGGACCCTGGTGTTCTCAGTACCATGTTCTAACCAACTGAGATAACTGGCCAGCCAGTGTTCACATTTTAATCCCCAGAACCTGTATGTTAGTTTACAAATGGCCAAAGGGCCTTTCCAAATTGATTAGGGATCTTGTATTTTTTTTTTTTTTAAAGGATGACCGGTAAGGGGATCTCAACCCTTGGCCTGGTGTTGTCAGCACCACGCT